GTGCTCATGTCCGGGTAGCGGTTCCTCTGGAAGGTGGCCTCCAGTTCCTGGAGCTGCTGGCTGGTGAAGTGAGTCCTCTGCCGCCGCTGCTTCTTCTTCAGTGAGCCATCCTCGGCGCTGGACTCATCCAGCTGGTTCTGGTGAGATTTCTCTGTGTCTGCAGTTGCACAAAAAGAAAAATTCTTCCATAAGAACACAAGTACGTCTTTTTTCACCAACAAGGAACCAGCTCCGTTGCAGTTTGAGCAACTAATTTTGAGTCAGAAATAATTTGGGAACCAAAGTGGGTGTGTCATATTTTACAGGTTGTTGTGCACTGAGCAGCACCCTCTGTTGATGAAGCATCCAGTTACTGTGTTTCCACTTAAAACTGGTGGAAACGCTGGCTGGTTCGCTAGATAAAAGGTTCTAAGAATCTTAAACAGAGCTGGTTCAGGAACAGGAGCTAATTTGGTAGAAAAACATTATAGGAGGCATAGCTTAGGGAGAAAGATAGAAGAGAGTTAACACAGCAATGAAAACAAAACAACTGATCATGAAAGGTCATGTTTTACCTTCAAGATAGTAATTAAACAACTGCATTACACGCATCTACCGATGAAGACCATGACATGCAAAAGCTCATGAAAAAGCTAGTAAGTTAACGTTGAGTTCCGACTTTTTCAGAGTACAAAGTAGATCATAAGTTACATTAAGAATGAATCAAATCATATGTTTAATATTTTATGGGATTAAGATATGTTGCATGAAAACAGTTATTTTCATACTGACTAGATGTGTTTTTTAGAGCAAATAATTAAATTAAATTAATGCAGCCTGTTTTGATCTATGCATCACTGCACATTTTGAAGATAATTGCACTTAACAATTGTAGAAATACACTGTAGATGTGGAATATTTCACAGTGTTTTGAGAAGGATGGGGATGTGCAGAAGAAAGAGAGAAAAGCTGTGGATGTAATTTTCTAGAAATCTAAGAAACACGAATCAACAACAACATTGTATTGTTTTATTTTATATTAGTTATTACTGTTATTTTATATATAAAACACAAAAACACAGCATATTGCAATCTAATCACATGCATATTTGTATGGATATATGTCTTCATGTATATGTTTTTTAAAATTTTGTATTTTGTATTGAAATGTTGCAAAAACATGACATTGGAAATATGAATGAATATTATAATTGGTTTGCACTAAATGTAAAAAACTGATAATATATATATATATACTGATTCTATTACACTACACTCAGGGCTGTATTAACCCATTAGGGGCATAAGGGAGTTGTGGGTGCCTACTGCCTATTGACCCTAGCATATATAATATATGTATGTAGCTTCATTAAGCACATATATATTTAGTAGTATGCACCATGTAAGCACAGTATAAACAGATTTTGAAAAAGCCTATAAAATAATTTTAAGTAGTAGTGTCAGTGTTGCCTCATTGTACTGTGTTATATACTTTAGTAATCCATACAGTATTACCAAAACAATTAAATGAACACCAAATAATTGCTACACAGGGTAACTACAGCCTTCAGGCAATTGGATGCTTTTCTCTGTTGGTAATCCTTCTCACCCCAGTAACCTAAAATTATTATTACAAAAGTTATCACAACACTAGTGCAGTATAGATACAATGGTGAAAGAAATATTCAGATTCTTCATTTATATATACTACAAGGACTTTTAAACTGGTTATGAAACAGTCTCAGTTTAATACTGATGCCTCTATATGACCTTCATTAACCTAATGTATAAAGGTACATTGCAAGTTAAAGTCTTGCTTGCAACATCTTACTTTAGACACAAAGTACAGCACTATGATCATCTAAATGTACTTTAAGTATCAAAAGTAAAAGTACTCATTATGCAGAATGAACAGTGTTATCATGTATATTAAATCATTGGATTATTATTATTTAAATGTGTAAGCAGCATTTCAGTGTGGTTGCACACATATTCTTTACTGTTACAAAATGGATTCAAAAAGTATTGATATTTTATAATGTATTCCTATTGGATAAAATAAGTAACCCCTGGAGAATAACCACTAACTAACAACAAATAGTATGATACAGAAATTGCTGTACCTGTACCTGAGTTTTATCAAATGCTTGGTACCACTGGATTCAGAATAACTTAATTTGTGTAAATTTAATATTTAACATTTCAAATTAATGTTAAACTTATATTATGTGATTTTTTAAAAATTAAAATCAATTTTGCCTGCCAGTTGAGTCATGATAAATGACATGAAACCAAACTTTTGATTTTATCATGTGTAGCCACGAGTTTTGACAGTTTCCACAACAGATTTTGTGTTTCTACCACTAACAGAAAGAAGTCTTTGGGGTTTCTTCTGAACATGCTAAATATAATCCGTAGTCATTGATAGGTTAACTACAGTATTTGGATTTAGCTGCCTCAACCCAACCTGTGTAAAATAGAACAGATAAAGTTTGGAAAATTTCTCCAGAAGGAACTGCTAAAAGCTCAATAATTCAAAAAGAATCTATTTAAACCAAGGACATTTTACATATGTTTACAAAAATGAAAGAAGTTTTATTCCACAAAATTCTTCAAAACCGTATGAGCTAGATTCTTCAGCTGGCCTTCTGTGTTTTGACTAAAAGACTGTCTGGGCAGGTTAGAAATGACTTTAATTAAATAGACATAACTGAACATTGTCTCTATTCATGGTCAGAAATGACAGGCTTGGTTTCTTTCTATGGAATTACTAGGATACTATTGGACCTGTAAAATAAAGAGCTAGCAGTAGTACATGGTGAAATCATTGGGCATTAAAAAAGCATACACACTCACTGAGAGAATTTATAAAGCTTAGACAGGAAGCAGCTAAGAGCAGAGGTCTTTGACAGAACATTTGAATCCTGCAGAGTCTAATTGGTCGGATTCTGCATAGAGAACTAAGAAACAGAACTATTTAACACATACTGTATGAGTGAAACAGCGCGTTATTTTAACACCTTCCACCTCGGATTGCATCAGCACGATCCAATCCTTGCTGAAACCGCCTAGATAATATTGTCAGATCAAACATCAGCTCAAATCTCTCTATCCAACAGGCTGGAAGATGACAAGCATGGGTGTGACGTTGCCAAGAGAGAACGATTCCAAACACTGCATTAGGTTCAAAGATGTGCAGGAGCAGTGAGTGATTGCATTTGGCCCCCAGCACAGTGAGTTTAAAGGACCACACATCCATGTTATGTCTGCCAGGGCTCCTCTCTGCCAGATCTCACTCCCGCAATTTGAAGACCTCACAGAAAGAAGTGAAATTAGCTGGCCAGCTAATCCCGCGGATCAGGCTTTTGTGACTGGGGCAAGTTGGGCTCTGTTTGGCGAGGGCTTAACTCTCGGAGCAGTTCGAAATGATCAGCAGGGTTTAAAAAGAGGCTCCGCAGGGCCACCGGCAAAACCAATAAGGGCCAGGCTGATGCTGTTATCTGGCAGTAAACTGACACTGGGTAAGCTGTCACTTAAGGCCAAAGTCTATAACACAATACAGAGGAAAGGGCAGCCCTTTGTAGAGCGACGCGCTGAGCAACAATAGGAGCAATCTGACTGATAATGTGCCGACATGACTGAGCCGTTCCAGGTCAGCTTCTCAGAGGGCTTTCATCTGGAAAACAAGAGGCTTTTAACAAAATCACTTCTCAACATCTGGGAAAATTGCAAAATTCTGAATATATTCACAGAAATAAAAGGTTATGTTTAATCGAAAAGCAATAACAACAACAGGCTTTTAAAAGCAGTCTGCCAAACTTGCTCTCAAGTGTAAAACCAAATTATATAATAAAGAGACACTGTGCATTCAGTCATGGGTGTGAGATAGTACACTCGCCTGTGGCAAGGGCGTCATCTCTGTGTGGTAAGGTGTGGCAGTCCACATTAAATGTTGTGTTTTGTATTCGTTCTAAAAGGGAACAAAAGCCCACAATAAACCGTAAGAAATGTGTTTGTAATGCCAGTCTCAAAAGTCCCATCATGGCTACTTCATGACTGTTCCCTCAGTATTGTTTCCCCTTGCTTTGAGAAACCAGGACATGACTATTTGCTGGAATCTTCTGTGTGTACCTTTTATTTCCCAAACTGCAAGCAATAAAATTTAGGGAGGGAAATGCTGAACCCTTTAATTAGTTACTATTTTTCTGGCCTGAAAGTAGTCAAATTTAAACATCAAAATATGGAACTTAAAACTTCCAGGAGGTGTGGGTTTTTAACTGTAAAATGTAAAATATGCATCATATTATATTGCATATCATCTTTATTTACTTTAAATCATGTTTTAGTTTTCATAAACAGTGCAAAAACTCAACAATAATGTCAATATTTTAGGCAGTTATTGTTACCGATTTAATTGATCAAATGTGCAAATTAGATTTAGATTTAATTTAATAATCATATAATTTAAAATAATTGTATGTCACATTTTCCTAATATGGTAACCCTGCCATCCTCACACAGTTATCCTTGGAATATATACCTTCAAAATAAAATCCATCAGTGTTGAGATATCTGTTAATACAGAATTTGTGTTCAAAGTGTTTCTTTTCCATGTGCTAACACACACAGCATCTGGGCCTTTTTTAAACATATAATCAATTTATTTAGGCCCTATAGAAGCACCAGGTCCCATCAGAGATCAGGTTTTACTTCAGACTAAATCAGTTCACCTTAAGAAGACTACATGCAAGTAAACGTGGTGTAAAAATACATCACATTTCTCTCCAGAATAGTTTGTGTTTGACAGTTTGTTAGGGCCGGATTTCTAACCACGCACAGTTTTGCAATAAGATTGGGTTACACACACATCAACACACACACTCACACACCACCAGATACAGACAGACAGACAGACAGACAGACAGATGAGTTAAGGTTTTATATGGAGAAGATGTAGAGAGAGTTTAGGTGATTATTTGTCACGTATCATGTTACATAACTGTACGAGCTAAAACTGACTTTTCAAAAGCAGATGTAGAGAAAAGCTTACAAGGGGGGAGGAAATCTGACCTCTATCTGATTGCTCAGATAGAATTTCCACCAATCAAGAGTCAGCACTTAGATGATTACACTGCGACCACCTGTTATCACGAGACATAAAGTTTCGGTCACACCAGGACAACTAACCACTATTAAAAACATCTCAAATATCTTATTTATGATATTCGAGTTAGCAAGTGGGCAGAAGAGATGAAATAATTATAGCTAAAAAGCTTTGGTAAATGGTTGGAAGTTATTCTGGTGTAGTACAAACTAAACTAAACACTGACAGTTCAATTGTATGAAAATATTATACATCCACTATTAGATCCACTTTATAAGGAGAGTACAAATAATATTCTCAAGTAATATTTAACTAATGTATATATGATAGAAAAGCTTTGTCTATGATATATATAGCAAAAGCAATTTATCTTTAAATCAGATAGGTTAAGTTAATGGTTCTGAAATACATTTTAATGTAAGAGAAATACTTATCAAATAATGTATGAATGAACATCCCTTAAATGATGAGCCATTAAGTTTGAACAAATCCAATTAGTTATTTTTATTGTTTTTATTCTGGGTTCTTGTTTTTACTTGGGTTTTTCCCCCCTAATTTTAATGTTTTGCCTTTGGTATGGGATTTGCTGTATACATTTGCATTGCCTAATCACATAAAGCCAAAGTGACTTGATAATTTGTTAATGGTGAGGAATTCATGGTACATGAATGCATTCAATTATCATGACTCATACATTAGTTAAATATTACATAGGTATATGGTTTGTACCCTCATTATTAAGTGTTACACAATTCATTTAGGTGTTATTGAAATTAAAAGTCCCTGAAAAGTAGTTAGGAAGAGAGCAGAGGAGGTGAAATAGTCAGCTAAGAGTAATGGGTAAATAGTTAGAACTCCAAAGACTTGACCAAACCGAACTAAACATTAACAGCTCAACTGTATAAAAATATTTACTCTTATATCCAAATATATAATGGACACATTTGGAACAGTGGTTGATGATGGGTGCTGCAGTGTATCTGGTCTGTGGGGTACTCTCACTGATCAAATGATTACATCGATCATAATGGATGAGGCCTTGCAGCCGCCGCGCACTAAGTCCGCAGCCCTCAGGAAGAACAGCTCTTTTGCAATTAATTTTCATATTCAAAGTCAGATGTGTTATATGTTATTACAGACACATCACCTGCAGGCTGCAGGAACCCGCACAGATCTCTCTCTGGGGCTCTGCTCACGCTTAATACTGCAGGATCAGAAATACTGAGCACAGTCTGTTATTAAAGCAGAAATAATGACATTTATTAAACTATTGTACAGAAATACGTAATTATTATTTTTATTATTATTATTATCACTATTCATATTATTATTACTATTATTAATATATTTCGTTTATATGCCGACTTTATATAATTGTCCTTATTTTAAGCATTTTCTTTCCTTTTTAATATGGTTTTGGTTTAATTCAATTCAATTCAATTTTATTTGTATAGCGCCAATTCATAACAGAAGTTATCTCAGGAAACTTTTCAAATAGAGCAGGTCTAGACCGAACTGGCAACTTCGCTTATAAATCCCCCAACCTAACGCCCTGGCAAACATGCACTACGCAATGCGTGAGCGCAACACCATGACAATACAGAGGATGTGGAGCCACTGACCGCTGGTGTGTCCTGGGCCTTTACATCCCTGGTCGTAGCTGCGGTCCCGAGTGTGCGAGTGAGAGCGACCCGCAGCGCCGCTGCGGGTCTCACTTTCCGCAGCAGGTTTAAATATGTCCATAACCAGGCTCGTTGTAGACAAGACACAGACGACAGACACAGCGTCAGGCTCCATCGTCGCCCACCACCGACACTTAAAAAGCGGAGGCGCAGACCCTTCAGGCCCTCTCGGAGCGCCGCCACAGGCACGTCACCGTTTAATCCTCTGAACGCGGCCCGGCGTCTTGGCCTGATGTCCTAGTCAATGTAATTAAGATACTTTCATGTGTGCTCAAATCCAAATCAGAGCTGTGTACTGATACCGCGTATATCCTACAGCCAACTGCTGATGTCATATCCAAGTTTGTATACAGTTGACATTAAAAGTCAGGGGCGGGGATCTAGAGGTTCTCCAAAGGTGGCGACTTTTACAGGATCTGTTAATCCTAAAACAGTTATATTAATAAAATAAGAGGTTGAACTTACATATTAATATATGCTAACTTGAGTTCTCCAAAATATTGAGTCACCAAATTAGGTAATTCATTTCATATTTTAAGTATTGGTATATAAGATATAATTCCAGTTGTTCATTTTTCTTTAAGCTGACTTTTATATCCATTACAAAAACTGTAAGCCCCAAATAAACTGGGCACGGATTTGATTAATTGTGATAATTGAAAATGTTTTTATATACGTCAACTGTTTGACAGTAATGTAAAAAGTGTTTTCAGTGGAAGAAAACTGAATACATTCAATTTAAGGGTAACATTGTTAAAGAATTGAATATGGCATTTAAGTGTTGATTGTACGGTCATTCGAGATAAGTCTGTTAACACGGTTTTAATTAAGTTGGGAGAAATGCCCGCATGTGAGTGTATACTTACTCGTTTCAAGCACAACTTAATTTACCTTACCTTAACAATAAATTAGTTACTTGTCGTCAAAACAAATAGTTGGACTTAATACATTGAAACTGTTTAAGGTTTAAGGTGTTTAAATCGGTTTCCTCAAACAGTTTGAGTTGAACTAATCAGGTTTAATTACAAATAATCACATATATCAACATCTGCTTGAAAAGGCCATCAAATGAAGATATTTGAACTCAATACCAATGACTGACAAAATAATTCAGCCATTGTTTTATTGTTGGAGGGTCAAAGTGTATTATGGTCTTTTTTGGCTCTGACTGAGGGATAGTTTTGACTGTAGACTCTCCTCAGTGGTTTATATTCTCCTACAAACACAGAAAAGGCCATCTCTATTCAATAATGGGCAAAACACATTTGTCTGTAGTTCAGTGGAATAATCGGCCCATAAACTGGAAATCCAGTATTTTACAGAGTTTAAAGCAGCTTTAAAAGGTACCTTGTAGCATCTTAAATGGTAATTTTGAACTTTTATGTTTACATAGCTATGTATATGTTGTTATTCTGTTCAGTCTTGTGGGCATGTTAAATGTTAGAGCACTGGTTCCCCAACATTTTTCCATAAGGGATCCCTTTTCTATTGTTGAGTAAACTGACTAAGTGACATATTTGGTGGAATTTTGAGCAGATTATGAATTTGTCTGACATGTTTAGTCACCTTTTGTACAATCCTCTGTCTGTATTATGTATTTGTGTTATTTTAAACAATAATAAACACTTAGTACCCTTCTTTTTGACAATTTCAGTGTTTTCTTCTTTTCACTTTGTCCATTGTTCTTGGGTTATTTTAAGTTATGCAGGACAAGGCTGTTAAACAGAGAGTGAAGGCTTTGTGAATATAGTTTGTGTTCAGTTCTTTAAAGTTTAGGTGTTAAATCATCATCTAAACTTTAAAAATAACAATTTCATTTAGTCTTATTCCCATAATTCAACGAAATGTTGTGATACTACTGTGTATGTTTTCTATGTTTTCTTACACCCTTTAAAACAAAGAAGGCTCGCGACCCCCCGTAAAGCTATGGCAACCCCTATTGGGGGTTCCGATCCCCAGGTTGGGAAGCACTGTGTTTGAAGGACACAATGGAAATTAGCCTGCTGGCTTCATTCAGTTTCTTTCTCCTCTGTGGTTTCCATTAAAGTGTGTGATCTGCAGTGCAGTTATATGCGTTTTTTAAATCATCAGATAAATTCTGCTCCTTCCTCCAGAAATATAACATCATCTAAAGTCATCTAAAGAAACAGTGATTTGAATGCTAGTGCATTAATTATACAGTCATTTACATTCATAATTATTTTGTTGGATTAATAGTACTTTCATCATATGATGTGATAACTACATTTTGTACATTATAATTTCTTTTAACATAACTGTGTGCCTCCAGAGACTTTTTTTAATAGATTTTCCTTCCTATTTTGGGAAAGTATACATTTATTTAAATCAGAATAGGCTCCGTTTGATGTGGGTTTGTGTCTATTTGTTTAATTTGGCAGTGCAATCTGTTTCTATTTTCTCTCTGATCTTTCCATTCAGCCCCGGTTGTGGTTGTAATCCCGATCCCTTTATACGAGCCTGACATAAGCAGCTATAACAAGACCTGCCCCGAATTGTCTCTATTTCAGGCCACACAGGGGGAGAGCAATAGAGTTATTGCTGTAAAACACACGATGACATTTCCAAGCCAGATTCTAGCCAGTGAGGTATGTTGCTCAATGGAGAACAAAAATAGCCACTCGCTTATTTATCCGAGAGCAGTTAACACCTCCACAATGTTGGGGGACACATATACTCTACTCGGTTTGCACGTAAACCTACTAGAGGTTTGGGATGATTTATGGCCACAGTGCTAATAAAGTCAGAAAGAAGCACATCTGTCAAAAAATATCCTTATGTGACAGGACACAAATGTATGGTTGCAAGATAAAACTTCTAATTTATTGATTTAGATAAACCTATTAAGTTGCAAACATTATTTTTATGAGTTGACATTAATAACATTTTCTTAAGTAGCCTAATCGATTGAAAAACTTGTTTATGCTACCAATTATTAAGTAAGCAGTAATTAAAAACATTTAACCTTTGATTGTAGAGGAAAAGATAATTCATCTAACTCAGTGTAGTATATTTGTTGAACATTATTGCATTAGAATTTTCCGTAACTCAAAAAGATTGATGCAAACTTTTTTTTGTAAGTGTAAGGGACTGTAACATGAAAAGTTTTACTCAAAAAGTAATCATGTAACTTCATTATTATACCTGTGATGTCAGGTCATATTTAAAAGTAATGGTGTGTTGTTGTTCAACACTTAAATGTTCACTCAACTGTTTGATAGAGCACACTCTGAGTCACTATGTTCTATTGAAAAATGTGTTGAGCTATCTATACCACTCCATGTAGGTCTGTTATGCTAAAACAAAATCCACCAGATGTCGCTGCGCATTTAAGGAGTCGGCCCTTTTCAGTTCGCCTCCCTACAGGAAGTTCACAACAAAACAGACACTCCAGACACGCAGACTCTGTCCTTTTCTTTTTTACATCACAATTTTCTAAGAACATGCTGTACCAAATGGGTTGTTTGTCCTTTTATGCTAAAGGTAGTGAATCTAGCTATCAAATCTACATACATGTAATGTAGATTTGCTGCAAGATTAAAAACCTCTGATCATTCATTGTAAATAGGATACATTTAATGTTATTCCATTATATATATGCTGCAATCATTTATAAATATGTTTTACTGTCTAAAAACATGATCACCTCAAGGAAACAAAATTGCAAAATTGCTCTTTTCTTAGTAAGGCCTTTGAAGGGTTAAGTCCCTTTTATTTGATAAATTAATACAAGACATACTTATAGGATGGTCCTAGTATTTGTTAAATACAATCTAAAAATGTCTCAATTTGGTAATAACATTAAGACCCAAGCATGGTGACGCCGCTCGCAAACATACAAACCATAGTTTAATATAAATAAAATAAGTTAAAGCTCCAGTGTGTAGGATTTAGTGGCATCTAGAGGTGTAGTTGCAGATCACCTCCAAGCATGTAGGAGAAACTGCAGTGGCCACGAGAAACGCCCCTATCTAGAGCATGTGTTTGGTTTGTCCATTCTGGGCTACTGTAGAAACATGGCAGTTCAAAATGGTGGACTCCGCCAGAAGAGGACCCATGCCCTCTAAAGATAAAAACAGCTCATTCTGAGGTAACAAAACACAATGATTCTTATATTCAGGTAATTATA